TTGCGCTCAGCTAATGGGCATGGTCACATCCCTTGAAACTTTGCGTCTCGCGTGCCACAAATGAGACAGTCAGGGGCTCTCCGATGCCCCCATCGGACCAGACTCGCAGCAGTTGGCGCGCTATTTGCACGCACGTGCCCAAGAAAATGTTTCTGCTCGAGTGGGGGGGGGCTTGCCAGGCATCATCAGCATCGTGCATCCGAACTACAAACCTGTAATCTCGATATCAGATGCGCGCCAGTGGACGGAGCCACCGAACAGCTTGGAGACTGCCAACTGAAGCCTCAAATGAGGTAAGTCCTGCATGAGCACGATTCGAATCACAGCTGGCGGGGCCTCTGTTCAAGCAATATGTTGACCTGTACTCGCGCGCCAGACGGCCGGTTGAGACGCGGGCCAGCCAGCTGCCTCGAGCCGCGAGAGACCATCCGAAATGGGGCCCGCAGCCCGCCCTGTCCGAGACTTACACGCTTCAGAGTTATCCGTTTGCTAGCGGAGCGGAAAGCTGTAGAGAGCGCGCTTAAAGGGATCGCGTCCGAGTGGGCCGAGCCAGCCTCTGCAGGCCCCTTTTGGGCGCCACCGGTCCGCGGCGCATCCCCCGACTGTTCCTGCCCCCGCGCGCGCGGTCTTCTTGGCCTCTCGAAGCCAGCGCCCAGGAAAGCTCAAGCGGGACGCCAGAAAGAGTGACTCCCACGCATTTGGCAGCTCGCCTTCCAAGGGTCAGCACCACTCTCGGAGGGGCCCTGAATCTGAGACCCATGGGCAGCGGCAGGTTGCACCGATGCTTTGAACAACCGCGTTATTAAACAACGAGAAGCTTTCAACATCCTCAGGCGCCCAGCTCTGGCTTAAAACTTGTTCCACAAAGCCGCTCGTTCACTCGCATGTGGAACTGTCGCGAGAGGCTTGCCCGCTGCGAGGTCCATCCCGAAGTTAGACGGGGCGTCTCCCAGGGTGCCGGCGCGGGCCCCGAGGGCTTGATGTGCTTCTTGGGCGAAGCTGCGGCCCCTGCTCGTGACCGTAATTTTCCTCGCCGAGAGCGAGCGGCCCAAGTGCGACCGCGAAGTGAGCGCCTTCGCGGCGCCGTTGCACGCGGCCATGCTATCCGACCAGGCGCTGAGCTGCACGTCGTCAGCGCGCGCCCCTATTCCCGAGCTATCTGGTTCAATATCCCGCGGCGACGCGGTTGGCACGGCGCGGGAGTCGACGCCATGTCGCTGCCATTTACCGCGCTACGACGCCCCTGCGCGGATTCAAGACAGGGCCGCGCCCCGTCCGCGCGCGACGCGCGCGGCCAACAATGCGCGCTGCGCGCGTAGAAGATGGCATTCGTGCATCTGCGCCCCATGGCACCATTCGGCCCTTCTCGCGCTCCTTTCGTTTGTGAGTTTGTCCTGGGGCCCTCCCCATTGCGACGTTGAATGCCGCGGGCGCGCGCCGCGCGTTAGGCCCCTGGCCCGGCGCGGACGGCGGCGGAACTTTGCGCGCCACCTGGCCGCGGCCGGGCAATGCCCCAGCGATCTCCCCCCTGCTGTTCGTTCGGGAGGAGGAGCAGCGGTGCGCCGGGCCCGCGCCCGAGAACATCCACGCGATGATACAGGAGAGCCAATGCCGCGAGATCATCCGGGCACATGAACGGGGAACGCCTGGTGCGCAGGCCACCTCAGCACGCGTCTGAATCGCGAGTCTCTTCAATAGCCCACGGGGGGGGCCCGGCTCCGGTTGGGGGGGGGGCTGGAACGGGGCCAGAACCACCGCGATCAAAAAGGTGCCTGTTCACGTTCGGCGGCCCATGCCAGTTTCCACCGCGGCCCCTGCAGGCGCGCGCGTTCGGGCAGGGGGCCAGAGAGACCTCCGCTCCCCTTCAGCGCCCCCCTGTCGGATATCAGACCCCTTCGAAAATGCGAGAGTGCTTTCTTGCCGAATTCCCCCCCCTGCCCCCTCGCGCCAGCCCTGCCATTCCTGGCGCTGGCGTCTGCGATCTTGGAAATGCCCCAGGCGGGCGCAGCAGCCGCCGGCCAACAAAAACAGCGCTAGGAATCGCGCTGCCCGCGCCGGCATTTCCTGGGAAGGCCCGCCCCCATTCGGAAAGTTCAGGAACTGGACAGAAACCGCTCGGCCCCGCGCGGACCCGGGACCCCCTTTTTCCCCGGGGCAACGCGAAGTTCAAAGACGCGATTACGAACCCATAGCAAGGCCCGCACAGGAAGCGCACTCCGATGCATTTCATGGCCAGCAGTGCGCGATGACGAACTACTTCAAATTCAAGTGACCGTCCGCGGTTCTTACCTAAGCCTTGAATGACGCTGAGTATAACTCCGACCATGCTGTTGATGCTCATTCACCATCTACTGCTTGAGAATGGCTTGCAAGTGCGATTGCTCATCTGGACTTGCCGTGAACATTGACCTGTATTATGATGCCGAATGTCTACGGCCCTCTGGACGCATTCCACGAGTACTTGGTAAGACGGAGGAGGAAGAGGAGGCCCAACGGTCAGCTGCGCACGGATGTCTGATGCGGTTTCATCATCTTTGCATGCATGCCACCCGCAGCCTTAGGAACACATGGGTCGGACGTCGACCGGCAAATGCGGGCGCTTGTGCCGCTCTGCGTTGACTGAGAGCGTCGGAGAGACTGCGTCACGCGTCCGACGCCTTGCTGCACGGCAAATCGTCGATGGTGGCCTTCTTGTCACCATTTATGAGGGTCGTCTCTGCTGGAGCTCTCCGCGCACGAGAATTGCTGGCGAGGCTAAGCTGGTCGGCGACGTTCGCGGGCGCGTTGAATCTACCCCCGACCAGACGCAGCGCCCCAGCCCTGGAGACTTGATCCCAGATATCGTTGAGAGCCGCTGTGTTCGTTGCATTCAGACCGACAGAGCCCCAGATATGACCGAGAAGAGCTGGACCACGCCAGGGCAGGTCGCCCTGAACAAGCAGCCCGCCAGGCGACCTGAATCGAAGTCCCCCCGATGGGCCCAGGAGCCCACATGCTTTTCACAAGACGCATCGCGCCGCCAATTTCATTCTCGCCCCCGTCATTGACAGCGCGGGACGCAACAGATCTGCACCCTTGCCTGATTGGAACGACCCGAACAGACTGATTCACACTGGCTGCAAGCTCGGCCTCTCGCAGGAAGTTGCATCGGCTTTAGACCCCTGGACTAGATCCGCACACGTGGGCCATGACGACGCATCCAACGTCTGGAAATGAAGTCAGCGAGGATTGGGCCCCGATGTGACCTGAGTCCTGGAAGCGCCACCCAAGTCTCGGTTCCGCCCCTCCCCCCTCTGTGTGGAAAGGCCTCGGGCGCCTCACCTGCCGGCACCGATGCTGCAGAAGACGCCGCTGCTCGATCAGCTCTGCGGGGTGAACGGGGGATCTGCGCGTTTTTCCCAGGGCCAGTTTCCCGCGAAACCCTTTCGCGCATTGTCTGGGCCTCGGCCACCTCGACGCCGCTGGATTCCAGAGACCCCTGGAAAACTCGCCGAAGATCCAGGTCCTGGCCCATGCTTTCATATCGAAGGCCCACCGCCATCATCGTCGGGCCAAGCTGATACTGGGGGTTCAGCGAGCGGCTTCGCGAACAGCTGGGGCAGGAGGAACAAAACCTGCTGGTTGAAGAAGTACCGAGGCCATGCCAGTGGCAACAGCAAAGGTGCCCTGGCTTGCCCCCATCGAGAGAGTGGACGGCCTCCTGATGTTTCGGAACCAACTGCGTCCTGACCTGGTCTTCGAGCTGTCCGAGCAGCTGAGCACCTCCGCGAGCTGCCTGGACCTGTTGCTGAGACTTCTCCTCAACCCATTGGATAGACTGTTCCTCCTCGCGGATCCACTTCTGCAATGATGTTAATCCTGGCGTTCTTAAAGCTGGCGACTGCGATCTTGACGACGCTGGATCTCAAGTCGGCCTTCTGCCCGAGTGTGGACGCTGGCTTACGGCTGTCGCGAGTGGCCCTCGAATCCTCAAGCATCCCTTCCAAAATGTCCTCGGAGCTGGGCGGCAGAATGTCTTTAAACTTGCCATCAGCGCCTTGGACGAGTTCGTGGAGAAATCGAAGACCTGCGGAGCCAATGCTGGCTGCTTTACGGCCTTCTGAATTGTCCTTGTTTGCCCCAAGTGCTATCAGGTTGGTTGCGTCGAACATCCTCACGCACACGCGGCAACCACGCCTTACAGTGGTAGTGTCATTGGCTAGGGTTCTAGGTACAACCACACCGAAGGCACTTAATGCAAACAGTGGCAGCACGATGAGACCAACCAGACTTGCCCTTGCCTTTCCAGACTATGACTTCTGAGAATGGTGGGACAGATGGCGCGCTTGTGCCGAAATTGTTGCGTTGATGCCCCGCCAAGAGCCGACAGGTGGAAGTGTAAGTAAGAGAGGGCGAGGCTTGGCCATATACCTACCGTCCCTGCAAATTCTGATCTGGCCAGCTGCCTTGATAAATCGCAACTTGAGCCAAAAGGCTACGGTTCCTCCACCTCCTCCTCCTCGTCTTCCCCTTCCTATTCCTCCTCCTCCTGGTCTCCTCCTGGTCTCCTCCTGGTCTCCTCCTGGTCTTCTCCTGGTCTCCTCCTGGTCTCCTCCTCGTGTCCTCGTCTCCTCCTGATCTCCTCCTCGTCCCCTCCTCCTCCTCGTCTCCTCCTGGTCTCCTCCTCCTCCTTCTCCTCCTCCGCCTCCTCCTCCTGCACCTCGTGGCACGGGGGAGAGTCAAGGGGCAGCGCGCAAGAGGCGGCAAGCCCACCAGGGGCATGGACGAGGTCCGGGTGTCGAGATGTTCCTACCACTCGCCATTGCGAACAAGCGCATCAACACTAACATCAACACCAACATCATCAAACTGGCGATGACATCCCCATCACCGCCGTGAGCACCACGACCGCCAGCATCGCCAGCGCCGCCATCGTCATCACCGTTGCCACCGTCAACACAATCACCACCTCCGCCTATCTCCCCTTCCTTCCCACCTCTGGGGCATCACCCTTGGCCGGCCTTGCTCGACGCGGAACCGACCCGCCGGTAGCCGCGCAGGGACTGGAGCTCCGTCTCGGTCCAGTCCGCCATCTGGTTGACCTGTGGAGGCCGCGCGCCCCAAGCAGAGCGCCCTCCACCTCCGAGCGACGAGGAGACAGGAGGAGTAGGAGGAGGAGCAGTGCAGACCCAACACTCATCAACGGCGTTGCATGACATCCTCCTTCCAAGCTCCCTCCGCGAAGGCCACTGCAAGGATTCGGGTTCACTGGATCCATGTTCGCTGAAGGAACTGCCCCTTTGGAAGACAACCGCTTGGAAATTCTGCACTGTGCCCAAACACCATTCCTGGGGCAACGCCGCGAATCACTGCTACTGCTGCATCTCGACGATCCCAACGTAACTGTTGCGCCCTGACAGTCCGACATCGTGCCGAAGCACCATTGCTGGCCATGGTAACCCCTGAAACTGCTGTAAACTCCTAAAACGACTGTACGCGGCGCTGGAAGCGAGAGCCACTTTTTGAAAAGGAGCTGCCCTCCACCCGTGAAAATCCGCCGACCCCTTGGGGTCTCCAGGCGTGCGAGAAAGCCCCAGAGGGCCTCGGAGGGCCACCCCAATGCCCAATGGGGCCCCAGACGCCCCAAATGATTCCGACGACGACGGGCCCAGGGCGGCCCCCGAGAGGGGCCCCCGAAGAGGCCCCAGGCGGTCCCAGAGGGCCAAAAGGCCGCTCCTGCGGGCCAGCTTCCCCGAAGTGGGGCCCGCCGTGACTCTTCCCGCCCTGGAGGCTCAACGAGCTCTGCGGCTCCTCTCCCGCGCCCTTCCACTCCCTCCAGCTTTCTCCCACCGCTGCCGGCAGGGGCAGCGAGACAGGAGGAGGGGGAGGACGAGCGGAGGGAAAGACGCGGGGCACTCTCTCTTCAAGACGACGACCCGACACCGCATGATGGTTGGCGAAAACCAGCTTATGGGGAGGTGGCCAAAGTGTCGCCGACAGGCACCGCATGGTCCTGTAATTCGGTGCACGCTGGGGGACTTCCCGGCGCCTATCGGCACCGGCCATGCTTGCGGCGGCAGCTTCGTTCTGTGTTATCGACGCACGGCGGGCCGGGAGCTGTTGGAGCTGATCGAGATCCCCTCGCATCGTCCGTTGCGACACGGAGTAATTCGTGGAGTGGTGGGTTAATTCGACTCAGCTGGGTGGCCACACGTGTCCGGGGGCCCATCTGACCCGTATTCATCATTCCCCACGCATGCAGTCACCAGCATTGCATGCCAGCCCGCCGAGCGAGCTGCGAAGAGTTGGCGAAAACCGTATGATCATAAAGTGTCGCTGCTCCGCGTTGACTTCTTGGATCGGCGCTGGGCCCCGGACAAGCTCTGCGCCCCTGGGCCCACTTCCCCCCGCTGCCTCCCGCTGCCCCCCCACGGCGGGGGGGCCTGGGCGACGCCACAGGAAGCACCCCCTCAAGAGGAGCGCGGCAGAAGCATCACCAGTGCCAAGCCTCGTTTGCACATCCGCCGCAGCCCAGCAGAAGTGGAAACCTCAGGAGGAGGAGGAGGAGGAGGAGGAGGAGGAGGAGAAGGATGACGACGACGAGAAGAAGAAGAAGAAGAAAAAGAAGAAGAAGAAGAAGACTAAGGGGGGAGGAGGAGGAGGAGGAGGAGGAGGAGGAGGAGGAGGAGGAGGAGGAGGATCATGAAATGAGAAGAGAGGACTGGTCGCGATATGCCGTGGCACTCTAAGCGGTCGCAGTGAGAGGACCAGGCAATGTGAACGGAAGCGGCGCGCACCCCTGGACTCGGGCTGAGGGGGAGACACAGTGGCGGAGGATGGATTCACACGCTCTTCTACTCCCTCCCGCTCCTCAACGGGTGTCGAAGAGCGTGCACCCGTCGTTACTTCTTGTTCCTCTGGAGGGTAGGGCAGATCGCCCGCGCGCGCACCGAAACGAGACATGCCCCTCTGAGTACTGTCAAACGTGCAACGCCACTTCATAGCCCCCCTGGGCAGGTCCGACTCGGATGCCGCCTCCATGGGCACTGCTAAAATGCAAAGCCGGCGCCCCCTTCCGGACGCCTTTGGGGCACCCGGGGGGCCCTCTGGTGGTGTCCGTCCTCTACTCGCACCTCCTGCTCCTCCGCCTCCTCCGCCTCCTCCTCCTCCTCCTCGGGTCGCCTACGGCCCTGGGGGAAGCCGTGCACCTAGAGAGCTCCGAGAGGCCCCCCAGGGTCCAGAATCACTGACTTTTCTTGTGTGTCTGAAGGAGTTAAACCTCCTCCTCCTCATCCTCCTCCTCCTCCTCATCCTCCTCGTCCTCCTCCTGCTCCTCCGCCTCCTCCTCCTCCTCCTCCGCCGCCTCCTCCGCTTCCTCCGCCTCCTCCTCCTCCTCCTCCGCCTCCTCCTCCGTCTCCTCCTCCTCGTCCTCCTCCTCCTCCTCGTCCGCCTCCTCCTCCTCCTCCGCCTCCTCCTCCTCCGCCTCCTCCTCCCTTCTTGCTCGAGCGGGCGTCAACGAGGGCGGGCTGTTCGACAGCTGGAACAAGGCCAACCCTCAGCAGCGCCTGCCGCTGGCTTGACCGTCACGCATGTGAGCGGTGATATGCGGCTATAGTGAGGGAGTTAAAGAAGAATGGCGCCTTCACGATGCAGGCTTCTGGAAGCTGAGGTAGGACTACTCTCGGCCTTGACTCCACTCGCTCCTCCCTCCTCCTCCTCCTCCTCCTCCTCCTCCTCCTCGTTTCCTCCTCTTCTTTCTCCTCCTCCTCCTGCTCCTCCTCCTCCTGCTCCTCCTCCTCCTCCTCCTCCTCCTCCTTCTCCTCGTTTCCTCCTCTTCTTTCTCCTCCTCCTCTTCTTTCTCCTCCTCCTCCTCCTCCTCCTCCTCCTCCTCCTCCTCCTCCTGCTCCTCCTTCTCCTCCCCTCGACTTCCACCTCCTCCACTCCCCCATCGCCCCCCTCTGGTGCCGGTGGCGCGAGGCTGGCGCGGCAGCTGTGGCAGGGACCGGGAGGCAGAGGTGGGACGCGGGGGGCGGCACGGAGCGGCAGAAGCACGGGGGCTACGGGACGGGAAAACGACCACAGCCACTGCTTTTCTTTTGTTGCCGCCTTCCAGCCAGCAGAAACAGAGCAGTGGGTGTGGTCATTTTCGTTGAGCTTGGCACCAGGGAAATGACCACAACCATTGCTTCTTGTTCGGCCGGCTAGAAGGCGGCGCAAACAAGAAGCAATGGCTGTGGTCATTTTCCCGTCCCGCAGTGGACCCAAGCGAAGACTCGGGTAACACCCCAGAGCATGGTGACCTCTTTTTTGATGCGGCGTCTCGGCATCGGGCGGAAGCGGGCGGCGGGAGGGGGGGGGTCTGGCTCCGGACCTCAGCTTGCTGCATCTGTTTGCAGCAGTGCGTCCGACGGGGGATGCCCCACCTGCTTGAGACGGGCGCCAAAAACAGTCAAGATCTACTCCAAAGGGGGGGAAGGGGGGGGCGAGGGCCCGCGCCGATCGGCAAAACAATGAATCAGAAAATGATCACATGGGGGGCTTCGAATGCAAGTGTTTTCTCCCCTCCCTCTCTTCCTCGCCTCCTCGCGGCCTTCCTTCTCATTCCGCATGCAGCTACTTTCTTAGCCCAGCAGCTCCAGAGCAAGCAGGCTCCAGTGGGGAATGAAGCTCCCAGCCGAGGGTCCGCAGCACCGATTCTTCCACTACAGCGGGCAGTTGGGCTCATATCTTGGCGAAGCACATTCCAATCCAATCCAGTCCTCGTCCCCCTCCTCCCCCTCCCCCTCCTCCTCCTCCTCCTCCTCCTCCCCCTCCTCCTCCTCCTCCTCCTCCTCCTCCTCCTCCTCCTCCTCCTCCTCCCCCTCCTCCTCCTCCTCCTCCTCTTCTTGGGCTCCGGCCGTAGCGCCTCGCAGATGCGACCCGCAGAAGCTGGCGACCGCGTCGAGGGTGGAGGGCGGCTCCTCTCCAAGACATGGGGCTCTGGCCTGGGCGTCGCACACCTTCGTCTCTAAGGATTGCAACGATGACTTCCTCCTCCTCCTCCTCCTCCTCCTCCTCCTCCTCCTCGTCGATGGTGGACGGCTCCGTTGCCAAAACGGGGGCTTTCACTTGCTATCGCATTCGAGTGGAGACCAGAAGCTTCGAGAGATGTGGTAGCTGCACGGAGGAAAGGCGGCGCCTCTTCAAAGTGGGGCTCTCGCCTGCGGCTTCCTCGAAGTTCCTAGCCAGAGCGTGTAAGCTTGTGCTACAATTACGCGGGTGGGGGGTGGTCCCTTTTCAAAACAGTGATCTCGCTGGGCACGTCTTTGAACTATATGAGCATACCTTCTGACATTCCTGCTCACGAGCTGCAATGATGCAAAGCACTTCTTTTTCAAAGAGGGGCTCCCGCCCTGAATGGCAGGACCGGTACTGATCTTGCAAAAGGGGGGGGGCGCTTCTTTTAGTGAATCAAGAAGGCTTGCAGGGACTCACGAGGGGGAGACTTGGGACGGGAGAGTGTAAGGTGTACTTCAGCATCGCTCATGCACCTTGGCTTTTCTCTGGTCCTCCTCCTCCTCCTCCTCTTCACCCTCCCCCGTCTGGCCTGGCGGTGCCGGCGTATCCAGACATCCGACGTCGTGACTTCTCCAAAACGTGGCTCCGCAGAGGTGCGGACACCGTTCCAGGGACTGGCGTATCATCCTGAGCTGTTTTTGTTCATGATCCCAGGAGGAGGAGGAGGAGGAGGAGGAGGAGGAGGAGGAGGGACAAGTGAAGACCCCCAGAGGCCGAAAATTGCTAAAAGCCTCCCGCCGTGGCTTTCTCACGACGCGAGCATGCCAGGGCACATAACTCCCTGCCTGCCCCACGCCCTCTGCCGTTCAGAGGTTCGCCCGGCCCGCGGCACGTTGGTCTTCCAGGGGCGCTCGTCGGCGCAGTTGTGGGCGGCCATCTGCATGAGGTGGACCTCGAAGAGCCCCTGGCGCCACTTGTACTCCTGAGCGAGAGGAGGACGAGGAAGAGGAGGAGGCGGATGAGGAGGAGGAGGAGGAGGAGGAGGAGCAGCAGCAGCAGCAGGTGGAGGATCTTCTTGACGCCCTCCCTCTCGCCTCCGCCCAAATGCTACTCGGGCCACCCCGGAATGGAAGGAGGGCAGCGTCTCGTCTCGATCCTCCCGGGTGCCCGCAGTGCCCGCGGCTTCGGGCTCTGAGGCCGTGGCGATGGCGTGGAGGCCATGGCCTCAGAAAGTGTTGCGCAGGCGGAGGAGGAGGAGGAGGAGGAGGAGGAGGAGGACGAGGAGGAGGAGGAGGACGAGGAGGACAAGGACGAGGAGGCGGAATACGCTTCGTCTCAAGGCACGCACCCTTGGCGCGGCTGCAGCGTCATCCATCTCCCTTGGACCTGCTGCTGCCCTCGCTCTGCTCCCCGCTCAGTGCTAAGGTCAGCCTGCGTGTGCTGTGTGGGTTTCGACTGTCTTGCCGTCACCCGAAAGAGTTCCTGGCGCTCGCTGAGCCCGAGGGGTGGCAGTCGCAAGTCCCTCCTCCTCCTCCTCCTCGCTCCTCTCTCCTCCTCGCTGCTCCTCTCCGCCTCCTCCTCCTCCTCCTCCGCCGCCTCCTCCGCTTCCTCCGCCTCCTCCTCCTCCTCCTCCGCCTCCTCCTCCGTCTCCTCCTCCTCGTCCTCCTCCTCCTCCTCGTCCGCCTCCTCCTCCTCCTCCGCCTCCTCCTCCTCCGCCTCCTCCTCCCTTCTTGCTCGAGCGGGCGTCAACGAGGGCGGGCTGTTCGACAGCTGGAACAAGGCCAACCCTCAGCAGCGCCTGCCGCTGGCTTGACCGTCACGCATGTGAGCGGTGATATGCGGCTATAGTGAGGGAGTTAAAGAAGAATGGCGCCTTCACGATGCAGGCTTCTGGAAGCTGAGGTAGGACTACTCTCGGCCTTGACTCCACTCGCTCCCCCTCCTCCTCCTCCTCCTCCTCCTCCTCCTCCTCCTCGTTTCCTCCTCTTCTTTCTCCTCCTCCTCCTGCTCCTCCTCCTCCTCCTGCTCCTCCTCCTCCTCCTCCTCCTCCTCCTCCTTCTCCTCGTTTCCTCCTCTTCTTTCTCCTCCTCCTCTTCTTTCTCCTCCTCCTCCTCCTCCTCCTCCTCCTCCTCCTCCTCCTCCTGCTCCTCCTTCTCCTCCCCTCGACTTCCACCTCCTCCACTCCCCCATCGCCCCCCTCTGGTGCCGGTGGCGCGAGGCTGGCGCGGCAGCTGTGGCAGGGACCGGGAGGCAGAGGTGGGACGCGGGGGGCGGCACGGAGCGGCAGAAGCACGGGGGCTACGGGACGGGAAAACGACCACAGCCACTGCTTTTCTTTTGTTGCCGCCTTCCAGCCAGCAGAAACAGAGCAGTGGGTGTGGTCATTTTCGTTGAGCTTGGCACCAGGGAAATGACCACAACCATTGCTTCTTGTTCGGCCGGCTAGAAGGCGGCGCAAACAAGAAGCAATGGCTGTGGTCATTTTCCCGTCCCGCAGTGGACCCAAGCGAAGACTCGGGTAACACCCCAGAGCATGGTGACCTCTTTTTTGATGCGGCGTCTCGGCATCGGGCGGAAGCGGGCGGCGGGAGGGGGGGGGTCTGGCTCCGGACCTCAGCTTGCTGCATCTGTTTGCAGCAGTGCGTCCGACGGGGGATGCCCCACCTGCTTGAGACGGGCGCCAAAAACAGTCAAGATCTACTCCAAAGGGGGGGAAGGGGGGGGCGAGGGCCCGCGCCGATCGGCAAAACAATGAATCAGAAAATGATCACATGGGGGGCTTCGAATGCAAGTGTTTTCTCCCCTCCCTCTCTTCCTCGCCTCCTCGCGGCCTTCCTTCTCATTCCGCATGCAGCTACTTTCTTAGCCCAGCAGCTCCAGAGCAAGCAGGCTCCAGTGGGGAATGAAGCTCCCAGCCGAGGGTCCGCAGCACCGATTCTTCCACTACAGCGGGCAGTTGGGCTCATATCTTGGCGAAGCACATTCCAATCCAATCCAGTCCTCGTCCCCCTCCTCCCCCTCCCCCTCCTCCTCCTCCTCCTCCTCCTCCCCCTCCTCCTCCTCCTCCTCCTCCTCCTCCTCCTCCTCCTCCTCCTCCTCCCCCTCCTCCTCCTCCTCCTCCTCTTCTTGGGCTCCGGCCGTAGCGCCTCGCAGATGCGACCCGCAGAAGCTGGCGACCGCGTCGAGGGTGGAGGGCGGCTCCTCTCCAAGACATGGGGCTCTGGCCTGGGCGTCGCACACCTTCGTCTCTAAGGATTGCAACGATGACTTCCTCCTCCTCCTCCTCCTCCTCCTCCTCCTCCTCCTCGTCGATGGTGGACGGCTCCGTTGCCAAAACGGGGGCTTTCACTTGCTATCGCATTCGAGTGGAGACCAGAAGCTTCGAGAGATGTGGTAGCTGCACGGAGGAAAGGCGGCGCCTCTTCAAAGTGGGGCTCTCGCCTGCGGCTTCCTCGAAGTTCCTAGCCAGAGCGTGTAAGCTTGTGCTACAATTACGCGGGTGGGGGGTGGTCCCTTTTCAAAACAGTGATCTCGCTGGGCACGTCTTTGAACTATATGAGCATACCTTCTGACATTCCTGCTCACGAGCTGCAATGATGCAAAGCACTTCTTTTTCAAAGAGGGGCTCCCGCCCTGAATGGCAGGACCGGTACTGATCTTGCAAAAGGGGGGGGGCGCTTCTTTTAGTGAATCAAGAAGGCTTGCAGGGACTCACGAGGGGGAGACTTGGGACGGGAGAGTGTAAGGTGTACTTCAGCATCGCTCATGCACCTTGGCTTTTCTCTGGTCCTCCTCCTCCTCCTCCTCTTCACCCTCCCCCGTCTGGCCTGGCGGTGCCGGCGTATCCAGACATCCGACGTCGTGACTTCTCCAAAACGTGGCTCCGCAGAGGTGCGGACACCGTTCCAGGGACTGGCGTATCATCCTGAGCTGTTTTTGTTCATGATCCCAGGAGGAGGAGGAGGAGGAGGAGGAGGAGGAGGAGGAGGGACAAGTGAAGACCCCCAGAGGCCGAAAATTGCTAAAAGCCTCCCGCCGTGGCTTTCTCACGACGCGAGCATGCCAGGGCACATAACTCCCTGCCTGCCCCACGCCCTCTGCCGTTCAGAGGTTCGCCCGGCCCGCGGCACGTTGGTCTTCCAGGGGCGCTCGTCGGCGCAGTTGTGGGCGGCCATCTGCATGAGGTGGACCTCGAAGAGCCCCTGGCGCCACTTGTACTCCTGAGCGAGAGGAGGACGAGGAAGAGGAGGAGGCGGATGAGGAGGAGGAGGAGGAGGAGGAGGAGCAGCAGCAGCAGCAGGTGGAGGATCTTCTTGACGCCCTCCCTCTCGCCTCCGCCCAAATGCTACTCGGGCCACCCCGGAATGGAAGGAGGGCAGCGTCTCGTCTCGATCCTCCCGGGTGCCCGCAGTGCCCGCGGCTTCGGGCTCTGAGGCCGTGGCGATGGCGTGGAGGCCATGGCCTCAGAAAGTGTTGCGCAGGCGGAGGAGGAGGAGGAGGAGGAGGAGGAGGAGGACGAGGAGGAGGAGGAGGACGAGGAGGACAAGGACGAGGAGGCGGAATACGCTTCGTCTCAAGGCACGCACCCTTGGCGCGGCTGCAGCGTCATCCATCTCCCTTGGACCTGCTGCTGCCCTCGCTCTGCTCCCCGCTCAGTGCTAAGGTCAGCCTGCGTGTGCTGTGTGGGTTTCGACTGTCTTGCCGTCACCCGAAAGAGTTCCTGGCGCTCGCTGAGCCCGAGGGGTGGCAGTCGCAAGTCCTCCTCCTCCTCCTCCTCCTCCTCCTCCTCCTCCTCCTCCTCCTCCTCCTCCTCGTGAGAAGGAGCGTCTTGTGCCATACCCGCGCGGGCATGATCACCCCGAGCCAAAGGGAACACATGCCGCGCGAGGGAGAGGCAACGGAGCGAGGCCACGAGAGGAGCACGGAGGAAGGAGGCCACCTCTGGGGGCCTCGGGGCCTCCGAGTGGGGGAGCCCCACGGGGCCTCGGGGCAGCTGTGATCAGGGGCTCCGGCCCCCACCTCGGCGGCCAGCCCCGGGGGGGGGGGGAGGCGAGAAGGGGCGGGCCTTCTCGGAAGGCTCGGGAGTCCCCTGGCCCTCTGGCGGGTGTTCTGGGCCTTCCCCGAGGGCACACAGGGCCTCTCGGAAGGAGGCGCGAGGTGCTCCTGAGAAGTCCCGCCGCCTTCCGAGAAGGCCTTCTCCTTCTCACCTCCCCCCCTCGCTCGCCGCCGACCACCCCGCCCCCCGTGCTGATGCCTTCGGGCGCCCCTCCCCGCGCGCGCGATGGGTCCCCCCCCTGCGGTCGTGCGCTGTGGGCGTGGTGCGGTGGGGGAGCCCGTGCCCCCGCCCCTTCCCCGTGTGGGTGTGCTGCGGTGCCGTCGTCGCCGTCGCCGTCGTCGCCGTCGCCGTCGCGCCGCCGTCGCCGCCGCCGCCGCCGCCGCCGTCGCCGCCGCCGTCGTCGCCGTCGTCGTCGTCGTCGTCGTCGTCGTCGTCGTCGTCGCCGCCGCCGCCGCCGCCGCCGCCGCCGCCGCCGCCGAAGTGGGCGACCAGGGGCCAACGCGTCCCTCTCGCTGCCCGGGACCTCCGCCCCGCCCGCCGTGGGCCGACGCCTCGGAGCCCCGCGCAGGGCGGCGCCCCGCACGGGCCCGCGGGCCGCCCGCAGCAGCACCAAAGCCAGCTGCTGCGCACGAGCCGCCCGGGCGGCCGCGCGAGAGCAGCGCGCGGGCCGCAGCGAACCCGTGGCTGAGCTGCGGCCGCGGGACGGGCGGCGCACATGCCGAGAGCCGCTGCGACGAAGACGAGGCCAGGGCGAGGGGAAACCAAGAGGTTCCCGTGCCGCTGCTCCCCGGACCTCTCCCCGGGGCACGCTCGGACCAGGATCCCGAGGCGAATCCAGCGGTGGCGACGAGGGCCTCCCAGGAGGCCCCAGAAAGGGGAACACGGGCGAGGGGCAGCGGTATCGGTACCTTTTCCTCCCCTGGGGACAGGGAGGAAGAGGAGGAGGAGGAGGAGGAGGAGGAGGAGGAGGAGGAAGAGGAGGGAGGAGGAGGAGGAGGAGACGGAGGAGGAGGAGCAGTCCAGATAACCCCGAGTCGGTCGGGCGGGCCCGGGCCCGGGCGGTATCGGTACCTTTGCCTCCCCTGAGGACGGGGTCAAACTCCCGAAGACGGCGCTGCTGGGGGCAGAGGCCGGGCGCCGCGACCGCTCCAGAGGGCGCCGCGGGGGCCGCGCGAGAGCGCTCCCCAATGCGCTCTGGAGCGGGTGGGCCCGGGCCCGCCCGACCAACTCGGGGTGATCTGGACGGCTCCTCCTCCTCCTCCTCCTCCTCCTCCTCCTCCTCGTCGTCCTCCTCCTCCTTGTCCTCCTCGTCCTCCTCGTCCTCCTCGTCCTCGTCCTCGTCCTCGTACTCGTACTCGTGCTCCTCCTCCTCTTCCTCCTCCTCCTCCTCCTCCTCCTCCTCCTCGTCCTCCTCCTCCTCCTCCTCGGCCGGCGTGACGCTGTATGAGAGGCCGATGGCGAAGCCAAGATTGGTTGGCGGCGCGCAGGGAGGGGACAATCGGCCCGTATCAGAAGGATGCGCGATAAGGATGCAAGGGCCTTGGACGCCCATGCCGAAGCGTTTCGAGCGGGGCGCGGCCAAAGGAAGGGGCCAAGGATGGACCGAGGAGGCACGGATGCAAAGATACAAAGGATGCGGGTCGACTCTGGGAAGAGGGGGGCAGGCTTCTGAGGAGGAGGCTGCTTCTTGGAAGGCGCCGGCCCGAAGTGCATGTACAGACAAGGCCCGCGCCCTCGCAGAAGCAGGGGTGCTTCTAAGGGGCCGTCCTCCCTCCCCCCTAAATAGGGAGCCGCACGCGAACCCTACCCCTACCCCCCACGATTTTTGAGGGGGAGGGTGGGGTCCACTTCGCTCGGGAGCTCCCGAAAGAAGTGAACCCCACCCTCCCCGTCAGAAATCGTCAAGGGCTCCCAACTTCGCGCTTCGCGCTGCGCGAAGCGCGAAGTGCGAATAACTTCGCGCTCTCGCGCCGCCCTCCCAAAGGGAGAATAGGAGGACGAGGAGGAGGAGGAGAAGGAACGAGGACCGCGAAGCGCGAATAACTTCGCGCCCTCGAGGGAGCCCTTGCTCGGAAATCGTGGGGGGTAGGGGTAGGGTTCGCATGCGGCCCCCTGCATAGCCCCCTCCGCGGCGCGTGGCCGAACGACACGGCCGCCAAGGCCGAATGCTCCAGGCCATTCTTCCCGGGGCCTCCAAGGCAGGGGGTCGCAAGTCATGGCCTGGGGCACGCGCGCGGACGCGGGGGGGGGGGGGGGGAACAAGGGACGCTTTCAAAGAAAAAGAAGAAGAAGAAGAAGAAGAGACATAATAACGGTAACAGCAATAAGACACACACACATATGAATAATAGACATAGTAATACTAATCATCCCAGTGCGACCCTACCTAGGAGTTGGAGCCCCTAGGAACGCAGCATTAGTAGTAACAGTAAAGCTAAGCTAAAGCTAAGCTACAACTAAGCTAAAGCTAAGCTAAAGCTAAGCTAAATATAAAGCTAAGGTAAAGCTAAAGCTAAGGTACATATAAGCTGATGCTAAGCTGAGGCTAAGCTAAAGCTAAGCTACAGCTAAGCTAAAGCTAAGCTAAAGCTCAGCTAAAACTAAGCTACATATAAGGTAACGCTAAGGTAAAGCTACTATAAAGCTAAGCTAAATCTAAGGTAAAGCCAAGGTGAAGCGAAGGTAAAGCTAAAGCTAAATCTAAGTTAAAATAAAGCTAACGCTAAGCTAAAGCTAAGCTAAAGCTAAGCTAACACTAAGCTAAATCTAAACTAAAGCTAAGCTTAAGCTAAAGCTAAAGTTAAAACTAAAGCTAAGCTAAAACTAAAATTAAAGCTCCCAGGGGACTGGGGGAACCGCTCACACTGCCCGGCCCTTCAAGCAGACAAAGTAAGAACCCTCTAGGCAGAGCCTAGGTAGGAAATAATACCACTAATGCTATGAATAATAATACGGATAATAAACTTATACTCATAATGATACTAATACTGATAATACTAAGAATACTAATACTGATAACAACAATAATACACATAATAATCAACGTACTATACTAATAATAGTAAAGCTACAAATAACAATAATAATATTAATAAAAAAATAACACTGAGAATAACAATAATAACACTCCTACGAATGCTAATACTAATAATAATGGTACGAATAGTACTGGCAATCATAAACAATAATACGAGTAGCAATAAGAAAACACATCATAATACTAATACTACTCCTAATAATAAGAAGAGTAATAATGAGAAGAAAACAAACAATGATAATCAAACCAATAAGAAGAAGGCGAACAGGGGGCCACTGAAATCCTGGGAGATCCCATGGCCGAGGCCACAATGTCCACTCACCCCTCCCCTACAGTCGAACCTAGGACAAAAACAACACCCCTCGAGAACACGAGGCCCTCCGCCGGCCAAAACGCACAGAACACCTAAGGGGTGCACAAGAACATCCATCAAGCACGAAGAACATTAGGGCACCCTCCCCGAGCCGACCTCGAACCGCGGGGCGACGACGACGACGACGACGACGGCCTCGGAGAAACATGTCAGCCTTGCAGAACACAGCCAAGAAACATACATCAACCCTCGCCCCCTCTGGACGCCGCAGCGGCCGGCTCTAGAGCCAGGGATGCGGGACATGGAGGCATTCAGCGGCCAGAGCTGTCCAGCGACCGTGGCCGCCCCTTCTTTGCACGGTTTCCCCCGGGGCCGTAGGCGACCCGAGGAGGAGGAGGAGGAGGAGGATGAGGAGGAGGAGGAGGACGAGAGGAGGAGGAGAGATGAGTGACGGAGGGAGAGAGGAGGAGGAGGGGAGGGAGGGAGATGAAGAGGAGGGAGGGAGGAGAGAGGAGGGAGGAGGAGAGAAGGAGGAGGAGGAGGAAGAGGAGGAGGAGGAGGAGGAGGAGGAGGAGTGGGCAGAGGAGGAAGGAAGGAGGAGGAGGAAGGAGAGGAGGAGGAGGGGAGGAGCAGGAGGGGAGGAGGAGGAGGAGGAGTAGGAGGAGGAGGAGGAGGAGGAGAGGAACAGGAGGAGAAGAGGAAACGACGATGAGGAGGATGAGGGGAGGTAGGAGGAGGAGGAAGGAGGAGAGAAGGAGGGGGAGGAGGAGGAGGAACGAGGATGTAGATGAGGAGGACGATGACGAGGACGACGAGGAGGAGGAGGAGGAGGAGGAGGAGGAGGAGGAGGAGGAGGTAGTTAGGAGGATTAGGACGACATCCCCCTGAACCCTGAGACTCCCTCTGTCCATGGCCCGTGCAGATGGAGCAGCAGGAGACGAAAGCTCAGGCGCGCACGGGCTCTCCACTGCAGCAACACTCGAAGCCTCCAGGTCCGTTTCCGTCCCATCCATCTCAGCCGGCTCTCATCCCCCAAACTGGTGGGGAACGCCAGGGGAGGGTCGTTTCAGGGGGGGAAGCGTCGAGCTGGAATCGGCGATGCATCGCAGATAGAGCGGCGACATGCCCCCGATAGCGAATCCGCACGCTCCTGGGCGGGCGGGGTGGGCAGTCGGCTCCTACCCGCGATGAATGGGCGATTGGAGATCGATGCATCCCCCCCTGACGTTGTCTGATCTTCCCTCAAGGCGTGGCGCCCTTTCGGTCCGCTCCTCGCTGGCATACTCCTTCCCAAACTGCCTGACGAAGTCCTCGAAGTTCGTCACAGACAGCCCTGCGCAAGTGCTCAGAATCAGCGAGTTATTCTGCGATATCTGCGCGGCACAGGAGGGCGCGAGATGGAGGAGGCGAGGGGGAGGAGGGGCGCGAGGAATACGAAGAGAAGGAGGAGGAGTAGGAGGAGGAGGAGGAGGACGAGTAGGAGGAGGAGGAGGAGGGGGAGGAGGAAACGAGGACAAGGAGGGAATAAGGAGGAGGAGGAGGCCTCCTCCTCCTCCTCCTCCTCCTCCTCCCCTTTTCCTCGTCGTCCAACCTGCGCCCTCCTCGTCCTCCTCCTCCTCCTCCTCCTCTGGCCTCCTCCTCCTCCTCCTCTTCTCCTCCTCCTCCTCTCCTCATCCGCCCTCTGCCCTGCTCCTGCTCCTGCCTCCTCCTCCTCCTCCTCCTCCTCTCCTCCTCCTCCTCCTCCTCCGCCCCCTCCCTTTTTCTCTCTCCTCTCCTCCTCCTCTCTCCTCTCCCTCCTCCGCCTCCCCGTTCTCATTCCTCCTCCTCCTCCTCCTCCTCTCCTCCTCCTCCTCCTCCTCCGCCTCCTCCCCCTCCTTCTCCTCCTCCTCCTCCGCCTCCTCCTCCTCACCTCCTCCTCTCCTTCCTCTCCTCCTCCTCCTCCTCCTCATCATCATCCATCATCATATCATCATCATCATCACCACCACCACCACCACCATCATCAGCAGCATCATCATCATCATCATCATCATCATCATCATCATCATCATCATCATCATCATCATCATCATCATCATCATCATCATCATCAACATCATCAGCATCATCATCAGCATCATCATCAGCATCATCATCACCATGACCATCAGCATCATCATCATCTGCAACAGCATCATCATCATCACCATCATCATCAGCATCATCAGCATCATCATCTGCATCATCCTATTCAGCGCCATCATCAGCACCAGCAGCATCAGCATCCTTCCTCATCATCTTCATCATCATTATCCTCCTCGTCCAACCTCCGCCTCCTCCTCCTCCTCCGCCTCCTGCGCCTGCGCCTCCGCCATCCTTCTCCTCCTCCGCCCTCCTCCTCCTCCTCCTCCTCCTCCTAGTTTCGTCTTCCTCCTCCTCCTACTCCTCCTCCGCCTCGTCCACTCCCTCCTCCTGCTCTCCCTCCTCCTTCCCCGCCTCCTCCTCCAACTCCTCCGCCTCCTCTTCCTCCTCCTCCATCCTTTTTCTTTGTAAACAACTTCCCCCTGTCGCACCCCGGAACCTACCTATTTTTATGGCGGTCCTGCCGTTTCGCCAGAGACGTCGTTACCGCTGATGTCCCTGAAACTTAAACATTGGCAACCGCTGCGCCGATGGAAGGCGGGCCGTTCTCAAAATGTGGCTCTCGCCTTAGCGCCGCGCGCACTCGTTCTGAACATTTGCCAAGAGTTTCACGGATTGGGGGCGGGTCGCTTTCAACATGTGGCTCTCGCCTTGGCGCCGCGTACATACGTTGTAAACAGTTGCGACAACTTCCCGGAATGAGGACGGACAGTTTCGAACTGTAGCTCTCGCCTGCGGGTCACGTAAATTCGTTGCACAAATGACAGAGCTTCACGGGTTGAGGGTGGCTCGTTTTCAAAGTGCAGTGGTTCTCGCCTTCGCGCCGCGCACCTTCGTTTCCAACGATTGCAAGAGTTTCGCGAAACCCCATGATCAACGTATCAGAAGTTGTGTGTTGGTAGGATTTAGAACTACTAGGGCGCAACACTTGCGTTGATTCGCGGTGCTGAATCCTCGTGATGGCGTCCTGGCACGATTCAAGATAGTCAACATGCAACCTGGTTGATCCTTGGCGTTGGAATCCCGAAATCAATGTTTTGGCATGCTACCGGGTCTTCAAGCGTTGTCATCCAACGAGACACACCCCCCTGTGGACATGAACCGTTGTATGGGGCCTACGTGTGAAGAGGGAGCCTGGAGACAAGGTTGGTTCCAACTTCCGCCCCAGCCCCCACCCCCGCCCCACCCACCCACACACCCACGACACAACGAGAGAATCCCACCAGCCCTCTGGGCGTCGGTGGTTTAGAGCGTTTCCTCTTCCACCCCTCCTTCTTCCCCTTCGGGGAGGGTTTACCCCTCCCCCATACCCCCCCCCCCCCCCGCTGACCTGGACAGGGGGGGCCGCGGGTAGTTAGAGCGTCGAAGACGGCCCAACACGGCTCCAAGAGGGCCTCAGGGAGCTCAAGATGACCTCCAAGATGGCTCAAGATAGCGCAAGATGCCTCAATATGGTCCCCATGATGTTCCAAGACGCTCCAAGAACTCCCCAAGACGGTTCCAAGTGCCCACAAGAGCATCATTAGGATGCATACAAGAAGCCAAAATGCTTCAACACCCTGGGGAAAATCAATGTTTTTGGTGTTCTCACTTTTTCGCTTGCGATGCACATCCGACGCGTCAAGATGGCCCCAAGATGGCTCAATATAGCTCCAAGAGGGGCCCAAAAGAGCCTCAGGATGGCTCCAAGAGCGGCCACGAGCGCGCCAATAGCGATCCAAGAGGGGTCCAGGAAACGATGTTTGGAGCTCCTGGGGGGGGGGGGCTGGTAATTAGGGAACCCCGCTTCTTTGGCCGATGTCCTCCAAAATTGCCCCAAGAGCGCCCCAACAGGGCCTTCAAGGGCGCCCATACGGGTCCAAGAGGAGCCCGAGCCTCCCAAAACAGCTTCCCGAGAGACTCCCAAGAAACCTCAAGAGTCCCCCTGAGGCCATTGGAAAGCTCCCCAGGCGTCTCAATATACTTCCAAGACTACTCCGAAAAGAGATCCTAGGAGGCCCTTATATTCGCCATGTGTCTTGCTCATCCTTCTTTTCATCCTCCTCCGCCTCCGCCTCCGCCTCCGCCTCCTCCTCCTCCTCCTCGTCCTCCTCGTCCTCCTCGTCCGCCTTCTCATCCTCTTCTTTTTCCTCCTCCTCCTCCTCATCATCATCCTCTCCATCATCATCATCATCATCATCATCATCACCATCATCCTTATCATCCGTGTCTGCCTACTATGATACTCCTGCCCCCCTTTCTCTTTATCCACCAGACCACATGATTGTCCCGATAAACATGTGATTATCCCTGACCGCTCCCTTACTCGACGCCTCAATTGCCATCTACACTGTCCGAAGCCAGCTACAAAAAGCGTCGGATGCGACTGCTGTTGCAGGAGATTGCGGCAAGGCCGCCAATTATCCTCCGCCTTCTCCTCCTTGTCCTCCTCCTCCTCCTCCTTCTCCTCGTCCGCCTTCTCATCCTCTTCCTTCTCCTCCTCCTCCTCCTCATCATCATCATCATCACCCTCTCAATCAGCATCATCCGTTTATGCCTACTATGATATTCCTTCTCCCCTTCCCTTTATCAGCCTGATCACATGATTGTTCCGAGAAACATGCTAATTTTCCTGAGCACTCCCTTACTCGACGCCTCAAATCCCACCAGCCCTCTGGGCGTCGGTGGTTTAGGGCGTTCCCTCTTCCACCCCTCCCTCTTCCCCTTCGGGGAGGGGTTTACCCCGCCCCCCTACCCCCTCCCCACTGACCTGGACAGGAGGGGCGGGGAACGGTCAGAGCGTCCAAAACGGCCTCGGCGAGGAAGCCAAAATCATTGATTTTAGTATGGTTGTGGCCCCATTTTGGCCTTCTCAGGGGGCAGGGCTAATTAAAGCTCCCTTCTTCTTTGATCGATTTCCTCCACGATGGCCGCAAGAGGCCCCCAGGATGCCCCAAGAGGCCGCAGGATGGCCCCAAGATGGCTCCCAGAGGCCCCCCAAGAGGCCCCCAGGAGGCCCCCAAGAGACCCCCAAGAGGCCCCAAGAGACCCCCCAGAGGCCCCAAGAGGCCCCAAGATGGCCCCAAGAGGCCCCAAGAGGCCCCCAGGAAGCCCCAAAGAGGATCCCGAACGGCCCACAGAGGCCCCCCCGAGGCACCCAAGACGCCGAAAAGCCCCTCAGAACGACTCTCTACTCGCCTGGGCGTCGTTTCTGGACGGGCTGGTGGGGATACGCGAAGCGTCTAGAATTCCCTAGTTGCAAGCATGCTAGATACAGCTGCGAGTGGCATCCTGCATTCTTCTACAATGCTGAAGAGAGGTGCAGTGGAAGGGACAAGAGGGGGTGATACTATGAATGGGGGGGGGGTGCTAGGCCGGGCCAACGCGCCATGGGCCCATGCACTTTATGGACATCAGGTTGCTGGTTCTGCTCGCTCAACTTGGGACGCTCTGGAAGCGCCTCGAGCCGCCAGGCAACTCTGAGATTATGGATTGCACCCGCCCCTCTTCCATAAACCCTCCACCCCGCCTCCATAGGAGCTGCTGGGCCACGCAACTGCTGAGAGGAGGTGGGATGTCGATGAGGGGGGGGGGGAGGGGGAGGGGGGGGCAAGGGGGCACGCGCAGGAATCAGGAGTTGGCAAGCAGAGGGTGAACAGAGCAAATGCGCCAGCTTGCTCTTGCGATGCTGGGGGAACGCCTCACTCAGCCACTGCCGCTCATCCATTCAAAAACCTGTTCCGTCCAGCATCAGATTCGGCCCGGCCCTGTGGAACTGATCTTTTTCCCGCTCCAGCCTTCGAACCTGCTCAGCAAGTTCTGTTACCTCGTGGACTGCTTGTTCTGCACTGCTCCTCCCTCGCCGCCAGTATCTGGCGCAGCGCCTGCTCTTCCTTTCCTGCACGTCGGAGGTGTTCTCGGCGTCCTCGCTGCCGTCCTCCAGGTTGTCCGCGTGCATGAACTCGTCTTGCTGCACCACTACTGCGTCGACGACATGTTGCTTCCTAGCGTTCTCTACCCCGACGACCGCCTGGCAATTGTCCTCCTGGGTGGCCTCAGCTATCTCGCCAGTCTGGGTTGACATCGTCTTCCCTTCCGCGACGTTGTTGGTCACCTGCTGGGGGTCCTTCGCGCACGAGGCCTGCTCCTCGACAACCTGTCCAACCTGCTCGATCCGCTGCGAAAGCTGCAAGATGTCAGCTCGCATATCGTAGAACATGGCGTTTAGGTCGTCAAGCCTAGCCCCATAGGGGAACTTCGCGCTCATGGCGCT